TTCGAGGCCAGCCTGATAGATAGATAGATAGATAGATAGATAGATAGATAGATAGATAGAGCAAAAAGAGGAGGACTAAGCCCTAAACGCAGTTGATCCCTATACCCCTGGGAGGGGGGTGTGGAAGAGGGGATTGGAGGAAGAAGGCAGAGGAAGAAGAGGGGGAAGGGAGGAAAGGAAAGGAAGGGAGGGGCTGGAGAGATGCCGGTCTCTCTTGCTGCTCTTGCAGAGAACCCAGTTCCAATCCCCGGACACACGGTGGCTCACAACCTCCAAGGAATCAGAAGCCTCCTCTAGGCAGAGCGCACTGCACACACAGACATACATGAAGGCAAACACCCTACATATGTAAAATAAAAAACACGCCTTTAATCCCAGCACTCGGGAGGCAGAGGCAGGCGGATCTCTCAGTTTGAGGCCAGCCTGGTCTACAGAGTGAGTTCCAGGACAGCCAGGACTGTTACACAGAGAAATAGTCTAAAAAAAAAATTAGTGGCTTGGAGAGATGGCTCAGAGGTTAAGATCACTGGCTGCTCTTCCAGAGGTCCTGAGTTCAATTCCCAACAGCCACATGGTGGCTCTCAACCATCTATAGTGGGATCTGATTCCCTTTTCTTTCTTTCTTTCTTCTTTTTTTTGCTTTTCTTTTTTTGGGGGGGAGGTTTCAAGACAGGGTTTCTCTGTGTAGTTTTGGAGGCTGTCCTGGCACTCGCTCTGTAGACCAGGCTGGCCTCGAACTCACAGAGATCCGCCTGCCTCTGCCTCCCGAGTGCTGGGATTAAAGGCATGCGCCACCAACGCCCAGCGTTTTTTTGTTTTTCGAGACAGGGTTTCTCTGTATTGTTTTGGACCTGTTCCTGGAACTCACTCTGTAGACCAGGCTGGCCTCGAACTCACAGAGATCCGCCTGCCTCCTGATCCCCTTTTCTGGTGTGCAGTTGTACATACAGATAGAACACTTGTATACATAAAATAAGTAAATCTTAAAATATAAAACAAATAGGGGCTGGAGAGACGGCTCAGAGGTTAAGAGCACTGACTGCTCTTCCAGAGGTCCTGAGTTCAATTCCCAGCAACCACATGGTGGCTCACAACCATCTGTAATGAGATCTGGTGCCCTCTCCTGGCTTGCAGACATACATAGAGGCAGGATGTTGTATTCATAATAAATAAATAAAATCTTCAAAAAAATAAATAAAACAAATAAAAACAAAGACACAGAGGAGTTAGAGGATGCTGGGAGGAACACTGAGGCAAAAGACTCTTAGCAATTCTGATATACGGCCAAGGATGTAGCCCAGCAGGCTGAGTGTTCACCTGCAGCATACCCAGGTTCGATTCCCAGCACCAAACAGACAGGGGGTGATGGCGTACACCTTGGGAGAGGTGGAGGAGGAGGATGGGAAGCTCAAGGTTAACCCCAGATCACTACGTATACAACATACACAGTCCCAGTTCAGCCTGGGCTACAGGAAGCTTGACATCACAGTTTTCAGAGCAGGAACCTTAGGAAGTGTCAGTTCATTCAACAATCATTCGCTAAGCACATGCTATGTGGCAGGCACTGTTCTAGGCTCCAGAGGGGCATGCTATGAATGAATTAGACAAAACCCCCGACTTCATAAAGCTACACCGTGTGGAACAGTCCACAGTGGAAGGGTTCATAAAACATGGGGTCAGACAGGGCAAGCTTGACACATGACAGTCTCCAAGGTTTTTCTGATGGCATCAGACCTCAGACCCGAAGGAAGTGAAGTCACCAGATGCCTAGGGAGCAGCCTGCCAGACGGAGGGGAAGGCCGGTGCACAGCCCCTGGGGAAGGGACTGTGATTAGAAGAAAGGGAATAGGGGGTGTAATGGTGTCAGCGGGGGAGAATAGGGCTGGGGACAGGCCTGCAGGGTCTCTCCCCTGGTGATTCCAGCTAAAGACAAGATCTTTGGACGCTGGGGAGGAGGGGAGTGAAAACTAAAAACGTCTAAAGCCACACATTCTCAGAACTTGGGCATCTGGGTACCCAAGACGTTCAAGCGGCTAGATTTGCTGGCGTCGGCATTCCCAGATGTCAGAACCACCCTGTGTGGGACGCAGCATGGTAAACACCGACTGTTCGAGCTGATGGCTCCGAACTGAGCAGAATCAGACCAGGGGCTTGGAACCAGGAAGCCAGCCCCTCAGGGCTAGCTTGGGAGCTCCGCACGCCACAGGAGAGCCTCGAAGCCTTCGGAAATCGAAACCGGACCCCCTGCCCCCACCTGGCAGGGTTGCAGAGGAATGGGGTCTTCAGCAGGGTCGCTACTGAGTGGAAAAGCCCGCTAAAGACTCGGTAGTCCTGGCACCAACCCAGGGATGGTGTTTTTGGGTGAGAAGGGGGGCCTGACATCCATGGTGACATCAGGAGTGCCTTTTGGGCAGATCATAAGGGTGAGATGCGAAAATGGATGATGAGGGGAGTCGGATCTTCCTTTCCGTTCTGACTCAACCCGTCAGCCGCGGCCAGCACCAGGGTTGGGGACAGCTCCCCACGCGCCTGCTCCCTCTCAGACTGGGCGGGGCGACCCAATCCCGCGCCCCGGCCGCCCCCTCCCCAACATGCGATCTCCGTGACTCCCCCCCCCCGCCCGGGTCCTCCGGGTCCTCCGGGTCAGGATGTCCCAGTTGCCGCCAAAGCGCGGGGGATGGGGGGGAGGGGAGAGGAGGGATTCCTTTGTCTCCTTCGGCTCCTCTCGGCCTCGAGCCCGCGGTGCGCGCGGACGATGGAGACCCGAGAAGGACCCCACCCGGGCTCCCGAGCCCCACACCAGGCCGAAGCCTCTCCGTACTCACTGCAGTGGGCGAAGACCGGCAGGACCTGCCCCATGGCCCCCCTCGGGCCTGCATCGGGGCCCCCGCCCACTCCGGCCGCGCCGCCCTGGGCCTGGGGCCACGGGCGCTCATCTCCGCCGCGTCCACGACGCCGCCGCCATCCTCCTCGGCTGCTCCAGCCGCCGCCGCCGCCGCCCTCTGCTCGCACGGCGCGGGAGGGCGGGGCCGCGGACGAGCAGGCACTGCAGCGCGGGGCCCGGGGCGGAGGGGCGGGGCCTGAGAGCCTTGTGGGCGGGGCCACCGATCTGAGGGGAGGGGTTTCGAGCTGGAGGGCGCGGCCTTTGGAGGAGTGGGGCGGGGCTTGGGTGGAACGTGGTGCTGGAGAGAGTGTCCAGCTGAGGATGCGCACTTGGGTCAGGGCAAATCTGGGGAAGACGGCATTGGGAGATGGGTGGAATACGATGTTCAGGGGTAGAGTCCGAGCCTAGACTTGCAGACGGCGTGGGTAAAAGTACTCAGACTTAGCACTTTTTACAGTTACATAAATAAGTGCGTGTGGGCGTGGGTGAGGGCCGTGGAGCGTGTATGCAGGTCAGTCTCCTCCATTCACACGAACATACCCAGGAAGCTTATTCTCACAGTCGTCAAAGCAGGAGCCTGGGGGAAGTCTCAGTCCATCCCTGCTTTCAAACGATCATCTACGGAGCAGGCATTGTGAGGCAGGCACTGTTCTAGGCCCCAGAGGAATAGCCACAAACGAGTTAGACAAAACTCCCGTTCTATTGTGTCTCTATCACTCAGCCAACCCCTCTTTTGGGGAGTCCTCGGCCATCACCACATCCTTGGGGTTCCTTCCGCCTACCATGTGGGCTTCAGGGATCAAACTCAGGTCGTCAGGCAAGGGACTGTTAGTCTTCTGAGCCTTCTTGCCTACCCCAAAGCACTCAAAACCTCTGCGGCACGGAGAGAAACTCAGACTTAGGTGCGGGTGAGGCTTAGGATGGCACAGAATGAATTAACAGTTGGGGTCTGAGCTAGAGATGCGGGCTGGAGAGACAGAAGGGAAGAGAGAGACGAGGTTACTTCAGTAAAATGACCACAAGCCCAAGACAGGACAGTTTTGTTTTGTTTGTTGTCTGTCTGTTTTTTGAGACAGGGTTTCTCTGTGTAGCCCTGGCTGTACTGGAACTCCCTCTGTAGACCAGGCTGATCTCAAACGCACAGAGATCCACCTGCCTCTGCCTCCTGAACACTGGGATTAAAGAGGTGTGCACAATTACCACCTGGCATTTTTTTTTTTTTTGGTTTTTTCGAGACAGGGTTTCTCTATGGCTTTGGAGGCTGTCCTAGAACTAGCTCTTGTAGACCAGGCTGGCCTCGAACTCACAGAGATCCGCCTGCCTCTGCCTCCCAGTGCTGGGATTAAAGGCGTGCGCCACCAACACCCGGCCCCACCTGGCATTTTTAAAAAGGTATTATTAATATAGCTAGCTTTTTTTTTTGAGACAAGGCCTTATGCAGCCTAAAGTGGCCTTGAGCTCCTGATCCTCCTGCCTCTACCTCCCAAGTTCTGGCTTGGAGGCCAGCTTTGACTAGCCGGTACCCTGAAGGCAGAAGGAAGATCAGGAGTTCAAGACCAGCCTCAGCTATAATATGGAGTTTGAGTCCAGCCTGGGCTACATGAGGACTTGTTTCAATAACAGAACAAATGGTTTGGGAGTTGGCACTTTGTCCACTGGAGTGGTTGGAGCTTGAGTTTAGGCAATCTGCAATCCGAAGGAGATCTTTATGTTGAGGGCAAGGGTTCTGGAGTTCACTTTTCTGCAACATAGCTTCCTTTTTTTTCTGTAATTGAGTTTCCTGTTTTCTAAATTGGTCATGTGAAAGCCAGGCATGGGGGGGGGTGTCCCGAGTTAGCTTGTTGGTTAAGAACACTTGTGATTACAGAGAACCCAAGTTCAATTCCCAGCACCCACATATGCAACTCAAGTCCTGGAGGATTTTCTGACCTCCAAGGATACCAAGCAGACATAATGTACATACATGTAGGCAAGACACCTATACACATAAAATAAATGACTCTAAAAATAAATTACAAGAAAAAGAGCCAGGTGTGGTGGGCATGCACTTTATCTTAGCATTCTGAAGGCAGAGGCAGGCAGAATTGACTTTGAGAGTCCGGTTTACAGAGTGATTTCCAAGCCAGCCTTGGCTACATAGTGAGACCCTGTCCCTGTCTCAAAGCCCAATAATAATAATGAACGATAATAATTTGTCAAGTAGTATAGTGTGTGTGTGGCTTGTGATAGGGCTCAGAGGGTACAGGCGATTGCTGCCAAGTCTGATGACGTGACTTCGATCTCCGGGATCCACAAGGTGGAAGAAGAGAACCGGACTCTCACAAGTTGTGCTCTGACCTCTACACACTTTGAATGAGTGTGATAGGTTTTTAGACGATGTGTTACACCGGGAAGCAGAATGCAAATAATTTGCTCACCCTTCTACTCCCACCTGACCCCGGCACTAAGCCTTTTTTGTTTGTTTGTTTGTTTTGAAAGTGCGGGAAAGAAGAAACCCATGAATGCACCTCTTAGTGACCCAACTTCAGGCCAGGTCAAGGGATAGGAAAGAGATTTACTTGGTTTAAAGACTCACTGGAGAGAGATTAGGGGAGGTGTGGGGCGGGGAGGGCGGAGAGGGATGGAACCAAGGCGGTGAGGGTATGGAACCTTCCTGACCCCGCGGCAGGAGGATGGCTGCTTTTGCCCGCCTGCTGGAGCGTCTCGGGTGGTCTGCTAGAGCTCAAAAAGCAGCGGAGCAGGAGACAGAGGCGGAGCGCCGGGTCCCCGGCGAGCCTGCGGGTCTCCTGACTGCGCCCCGATGCTCCCAGAGGCTACTCGCGGGGGCGGCGACAGCACCCGGCCTGCGTTTCGGGGCGAGCGCGGTGCAGGGCTGGCGCGCGCGCATGGAGGACGCGCACTGCGCTCGGCTGACTTTGCCCGGGCTGCCGTCGGGCTGGGCTTTTTTCGCAGTCCTGGATGGCCACGGCGGAGCGCGGGCTGCGCGCTTCGGAGCGCGCCACCTCCCAGGTCACGTGCTAGGTGAACTGGGTCCCGCGCCCCGGGAGCCCGAGGACGTGCGCCAGGCTCTGCGCAGCGCCTTCCTCCGCGCGGACGCGCATCTGCGCGCGCTCTGGCCCCGCAGCGACCCCGGCGGCTCGACGGCAGTGGCCTTGCTCGTGTCCCCGCGCTTTCTCTATCTGGCGCACTGCGGGGACTCGCGCGCGCTGCTGAGTCGCTCGGGATCCATGGCTTTCTGCACCGAGGACCACCGTCCCCACCGGCCTCGGGAACGCGAGCGCATCCACGACGCTGGTGGCACCGTCCGTCGCCGGCGCGTTGAGGGCTCCCTGGCCGTATCCCGAGCCCTAGGCGACTTCGCTTACAAGCAGGCGGCCGGGAGGCCTCCAGAGCTGCAGCTCGTGTCCGCTGAGCCCGAGGTGGCTGCACTGGCACGCCAAGCCGAAGATGAGTTCGTGCTCCTGGCCTCCGATGGCGTGTGGGACGCTCTGTCTGGTGCCGACCTGGCGGGGCTGGTGGCGTCGCGCCTCCGTCTGGGCTTGGCGCCGGAACAGCTCTGTGCCCAGCTGTTGGACACGTGCCTGTGCAAGGTCCTGGACCACTGCGTGTGGGGAGGAGGGGCTTGGATGATAAGAGGAGGGACCGAGCGAGTAGAGGGTGTGAGTGGCTTGGAGTCCAGAGCAAGGATGCTTTGAACATGAGGGAGCATAGTAGGGGCAGATATAGGTAAGTGGTAGGGATGTAGGAGAATGGGCGTGGCCTCTAGGAATGGAGTCCAAGTTAGGCTTTCAGGCCAGGAAGAATTTAAAAGACTTGGGCTGGCTTTTTAAACTTTATTTAATTGGATTACATTTTAATGCATTTTGTGTGTGTGTGTGTGTGTGTGTGTGTGTTCATACCACATCACGTGTGTTGGCCAGAGAACATCTTTTTTTTTTTTTTTTTTTTTTTTTTCGAGACAGGGTTTCTCTGTGGCTTTGGAAGCTGTCCTGGAACTCGCTTGGTAGTCCAGGCTGGTCTCGAACTCACAGAGATCCGCCTGCCTCTGCCTCCCGAGTGCTGGGATTAAAGGCGTACGCCACCAACGCCCGGCTGCCAGAGAACATCTTATTGCAGTCTGTTCTTCCTTCCATCATATGGATCCCAGGGATCAAACTCTGCCTTTGCCCACTGAGACGTCTTGCTGGCCCGTGGCTGGTTTCTTTAATAAAGCTTGGTGGCCAGAACCCGTGAAGGCCATGGTCCAAGAGACGGGTCCAAATGGGAGAGAGAGCTTGAATGACATAACCGCATTGGGTCTACAGCCATACCACCTTGAACGCGCCCGATCTCGTCTGATCTTGCAAGCTAGGCAGGGTCGGGCCTGGTTAGTACTTGGATGGGAGAGAGTCGGATCGGTGAGGGGAAACTCCCAGCACCAGGGTGGTTGGGAAAACCATGCTCTCAAAGCCGTGGGACCTGGGGAGGATTTTGACTCTCCCACCGGACTCTTTTTTTCTTCACCTTACCCAGGGAAGTCTGGATAACATGACTTGCATGGTGGTCTGCTTCCCAGGGGCCCCCGGGCCTTGTGAAGAGGCAATCCAGAGGGAGACGGCCTTGGACGCAGCTCTGAGCCACAAAGTTGCCGGTGAGCAGTCACCAAATGGCCGGTGGGTGGGCGGGGCAGCAGGCAAGTATGGCCTCTCCACTCACCTCCTTCTCAGAGCTGTATTTGTCCGCCCAGGAACCCCCATGCCTAAACACGGTTTTCAGGACCCTGGAGTCGGAGGACATCCCAGGCCTGCCTCCCGGAGGAGGGTTGCATAGCAAGTAAGTTGGGGTGCGGTGGGAAGGGGCAGGGGCAGGGCCAGGTCTCCGATTAAAGGCTTCCCTTTGCTCTCTAGGGCCGCTGTCATTGCTGAAGCTTACTCTAGACTCTGTCGGACTCCGGGGGAGCCTCGAGAGGTGAGGCACCCTCTCTTAGGGTCAATCCCCGACCTACCCTACACCCCTGCCTGCTGGCCACACTGGCAAGGACTCCACCACTGAGCTCAGGCCCTAGACCAGCCCAAACCTGTGTTGTTGGGGTTTTTGTTTGTTTGTTTGTTTCTTTTTTGTTTGTTTGTTTTTTTGTTTTTCGAGACAGGATTTCTCTGTATTCTTTTAGAGGCTGTCCTGGAACTCGCTCAGTAGACCAGGCTGGTCTCGAACTCACAGAGATCCGCCTGCCTCTGCCTCCCAAGTGCTGGGATTAAAGGCGTGAGCCTATGTTGTTGGTTTTATAAGTTTAACACTTTTTATTTGTGGGGGAAGGGGGTGTATGTACACACACACACACACACACATGCACACATGCACGCACACACATATACACGCACACAGAGGCATGGGTGCCGTGTAGCTGTTAGGAAGTTCAAAGGACTGCCCGCCGGAGTTAATTCTCTCCTACCATGGGGGTCCCAGGAACTTAACCTAGACCATTAGGCTCAGAGGCAAGTGTGTTTGCGTGATAGGTAGTCTCACAGCCCTTTTAAATATTTTTGCATTCATTTTTTAGATTGAAGACAGGCATGGTGGAGCACACCTTTAATCCCAGCACTGACAAGGCAGAGGCAGGCGGATCTCTGTGAGTCTATAAAGACAGTTCCAGGACAGTCAGGGGCTACACAGTGAGACCTCGTCTCAAAAAAAATGTTCAAAAATAACCAATCAATGAATGAAGGGCTATACAGAGTTATATGTGTATCTGTGGTAGAACACTTTCTAGTGTGTGTAAGGTTCCCTTCACAAACAGCAAGAAAGGGGCTGACAAGATGACCCCGTGGTTAAGAGCACTCACGGCTCTTCCAGAGGACTCGAGTGGACCACAGCAGCAATTGCAGCAGTCCGGAGCGAGGAACTCAGAGGAGGTTGAAGTCACCATGGATGGCATAAGACCCTGTTTAAATGAAAAGAAAGAAAGAGGCTGGGTAGTGGTGGCACATTCTTTAGTGCCAGCACTCAGGAGGCAGAGGCAGGCAGATCTCAGTTCAAGGCCAGCCGGGTCCACAAAGAGTTCCAGGACAGCCAAGACTGTTACATATAGAAACCCTGTCTCGAAAAAAGTTTTTTTATTTTATTTTTAATTTTTAAAAAGAAGCAAATCGGGGATGGGGGCTTCTGGAAAACTGAGTGGGCTTCGGACAGGCGGCTTCACTGTTTCCCGTTTTGTCTTACAGTGGGTACCACCAGCGCCCAGTCAACCCTTGACCTGAACTCAGGTGTGACAGTGGCTGTCCCCCGGGGACCATCTGCATAGCTCAGGGGGAAACCTATGCTTCCTTACCATGACAGGCAGAGGAAGGAAGACCAGCCATGCAGGAACCTAGAATCTTCATTTCCCCTTCTCCTACTTCCCCCACGCAAGAGTCTCATGAGGGGGGAACTCCACCATTACCCAGCAGGGAAAAAAAAAAAAAAAACACGCCAAGCATGGTTCTTTTTCTCCTCCGCAACATTTAAAGGCAAACAGATCCTGAGTGGTCAGTGTGTAACAGCCTTCCTATTTTTTTAACCTTGTCCACATGGAGGCGATAAGAGACCCGAACATGAAATTTGAATCAATAAAGCAATTCCAAATGTATTCCTTTTGTTTTTTCAGTTATTACTATTTATTTTGTGTGTGTGTGTGTCTGTCTGTCTGTCTGTGCAAGCATACACACGTGGGAGTTAGAGGACAACCTGCTGGGCCATCTTGTTGGGCCGTTTCTTCGTTTATTTTTTTACCCCCGTGTTTCCAACTTTCATGCATTTATTTATTTTTCTGTGTATGAATGTTTTGCCTGCATTTACCGGCTGCGGCCAGAAGAGGGCATCAGATCACCTCCGACTGGATTTACAGATGTGTTGTGAACTGGTATGAGGATGCTAGGAACCAAACTGAGTTCCTTTGCAAAAGCAGTAAGTTCTCTTCATCACCGAGCCGTCTCTCCAGCGGCCCTTTAATTTCCGTTTTGACCGTGTAGCCCAGGAGGGCCTTGTACCGGAGGCCTTCCTGCCTCGGCCTCTCAGGTGCTGAGATCACAGGCAGGTGCCGCTCCCTCAAGCTCCACATTTTCTTACACAAAGTGGCTTGTTGCCAGGTGTGATGGCACCAGCTCGTGATTCCAGCACTTCCAGGGTTAAGGCAAAGATGATCCAGTAAGCTCAAGACCCTGCCACGTATGGAGTTTGGACAGCTTGGACTGCATGAGACCCGATCTAAAAGGAAGGGAGGGAGGGAGGGAAGAAGGGAGGAAGGAAGGGAGAAAGGAAGGGAGGAAGAAAAGAAGGGAGAGAGGGAGGAAGGGAGGGAGGGAGGAAGGGAGGGAGGGAGGAAGGGAGAGAGGGAGGAAGGGAGGGAGGAAGGAAGGGAGGGAGGAAGGGAGGAAGGAAGGGAGGAAAAAACTCCAGGACAGCCAGGGCTACATAGACAGACCCTCTCTCAGAATCAGAACAAAACAAAAAGAGTGCTTTGCTTATTCTCTGGTCAGCAAATGTGCGGTGAGCAAGTCCTGTATCACCAGACCGTGTTCAGAGCTGGGAGCCGGCCCAGTCCACTGAGATCAAGAGGCTCCGTGCGGCCGACCACCCTGTTTGGGGACTAAACAAGGGAACTAAAAAGTAGAGCCATAAGGAAACAATACAGGGAATAGGGGAAACTTGACCAAAGAGGTTCACCTGACATTAGTTTTCCCCCTAAAATCCTGGGCTGGGTAGGTGGCTCAGGAGACTCTGACACCCTGAGTCTGATAACCTGGAACCCACAGAGGACAAGGGGTGGGGGTTGACTCTCCCCTTCTGCCAGGCTGGTCCTAGGAATTGGACTTGTATTCTTATGCTCAGCAGCAAGTGCTTTACCATCTCTGTGGTCTCTCTGTCTCTGTCTCTGTTTCTCTCTCTCTCTCACACACACACACACACACATTTTTTGAAGGTTTATTTACTTATGTACAGTGTTCTGCCTGCATGTACGCCTGCAGGCCAGAAGAGGGAGCCAGATCTCATTACAGATGGTTGTGAGCTGCCATGTGGTTGCTGGGAATTGAACTCAGGAACTCTAGAAGAGCAGCCAGTGCTCTTAACCTCTGAGCCATCTCTCCAGCCCCATATATATATATTTAAAGATCTGTTTATCTAACATACACCGAGGCTTTGCCTGCAAGCAGGTCTGTATAAGAGTGCCAGATGCCCTGGAACTGGGGTTACAGACATTGTGAGCTGCCATGTAGGTGCTGGGAATTGAACCTGGGTCCTTTGGAAGAGCAGTTGATGCTCCTAACAGCTTGAGCCATCTCTCCAGTTCCCTGAGCTTATATTTTTAAAGTGTTTTAAGGAAAAGATGGGAGCTGGGCATTGGTGGCGCACGCCTTTAATCCCAGCACTGGGGAGACAGAGGCAGGCGGATCTCTGTGGCCAGCCTGATCTGCAGAGCGAGTTCCAGGACAGCCAGGGCAATTACACAGAAAAACCCTGTCTGGAAAAACAAAAAACGGCCCTGGAGAGATGGTTCAGTAGTTAAGAGGACCCAGGTTCACCCATGTGGCAGCCCACCGTTACTGTAACTTCAAGATCTGACATCCTCACCCAGACATACATGCAGGCAAAACACCATGCACATAAAATAAAAATAAATTCATCGCTAAAAAAGAGGAAAACATCAAGACAGAAAAGACACTAGGGAGCAGTACACGTATTGTAGGGTCTTACTCAGTTGCAAAAGGCTTGTGTTGTATCTCCCACAAGTGCTACACACACACACACACACACACACACACACACACACACACACACACACGCACACAGACCGTGTGTACTATGCACTGGTCCATGCGGGTGCACATGCCCATGTATGTGGTCAGAGGTCGACTTCAGGAACTTCATTGATTGTCCCTTGCCTTATTTCAGAGAAAGCATCTCTCCAAGCCTGGAGCTCATTGGTTCAGTTGGCCAGGGAGGCGCGCAGGGATCTTCCATGTCCTGCTGCCCCGAGTCTGGGGAGGTGAGGGATCTACTTTTACATGGGTGCAGGGGACCCCAACCCAGTCCTCGTGATGGCAGAACAGGCACTTCCCACTTTGCAGTCTGAGCCGTCTCTCCCGCCCTGTTACTGAGACTTTTATAGGGAAAGCTTGCTAGGACAGTGCAGACAGGTTACAAGCACCGCCTTCTCCTTCAGTGGTAACTGTTGTTCCAGTGTGGCCTCCTTGAGGACACCGAAGAATTGTCCCAGTCTACTCAAGAGACTGGGAGAGTCACAGAACTGTAACTGAGATCAGCAGTTTTCAACCGGCAGGTTGCAACCCCTTTCGGGGTAGAAAGGCCCTTCCGATGGTCACCTAAAACCATTGGAAAACACAGATGATATTTACATTACGACTCACAACAATAGCAAGATTACAGTTATGAACTTTATGGTTTGGGGTCACAACATGAGGAACTATATTAAAGGGTCAAAACGTTAGGGAGGTTGAGAAGCACTACTCTAGGAGGATGTTGGGGGGCATGGATTACTCAAGTTTTTGTTTTGCCTGGCTGACCGGGAACTCAGTATGTAGACCAGGCTGGTGTCCAATTCATTGAGATCTGCTTGCCTCTGCCTCCTGAGTGCTAGGGTTAAAGGTGTAAACCTGGCCTATTTGTTTTGTTTTTTTAAGATTTAATTGTATTATTTTTAATTATGTACTGGTGTGTGTGAGCACGTGCGTTTGACTGTGTAGGGGGCGTGCGGTGTCCTGGAAGGCCAGAGGCCTTGGACACCCTGGAACTGGAATTCCAGGCAGCTGTGAAGTCTTGTGTGTGCTGAGAATTGAACTCGGGTCCTCTGGAACAGTAGCCAGTATTGTTAGCGTAACCTCAGATGACTTTGAAGTCGCTCTGTAACCCAGGCTGGCCTCAAACTCGCGATTCTCCTGCCTCAGCCTCCTGGTTTGTGGCACCCACAGCGAGCCTACTAGATTTTTTTCCGCGCAGAATTACTCAGAGTTCAGCGAGAACGAAGACGAGGTTCTGGAAGGTGAAAGGCCAGCAGGGAGCGAGCATCCAGGAAATGGACCGCCTAAAGGCCAAGTGGGTTGATTCCCCGCGAGTCCCGGGGGCACTCGACCCAGAGGATCACAGGCCGACCCCATCCCCTACCCCCTGCCTCAGTTTCCCGACGCGCAAAGCAGGAACCCGTGCCTTCCTAGGGTCAACGCCTTCCACCCGGCCAGGTGGAGCTCTACGGGAGGGGGCGTGTCCACACGGTGATGTAACTCTGGGCGGGGCCTGCGGCACTCCCTGCGGAAGCCTCGGAGGGACCCGGGTGTGTGTGGGGGGCGCAGGGGTCCCCAAGGAGGGTCTCCGGGCCCCGAGCCTCGGGGGCTGCTGGGACGACCGTCCGGGGGGCGAAACTGAGCCGTCGCTGGGCGGGTGGGGGCGGGCGAGGGGGTCGCACCCCGCCCCGGCGCCCCGCCCCGCCCCCGCCGCGGTGAGTCAGCCGCCCCGCCGCGCCCCCTCGCGCACTTCCTCCACACCTTCCCCGGGGGGGGCGGCGAGGGGCGGGGCCCGGCCGGAGAAAGCCGGATCTGGGGGAGGGGGGTGACACACGGAAGAAGCCCCGAGCGTTGCTTAAAGGGGGAAATTGAGGGAGATGCCTGGCTTAACCGGAGGGGCTGCCCGGCCCCCCCAAAACCACACAAGAACAGAGCAGAAGTCCGCGGAGCGCCCCCGCCACGCCCACCCCACCCCACCCCACCCACCCGATCTCCACCTGAGCCTTCGGGAGTCAGGCACCCAGGGAAGGCCCCCTCTCCTCCCCGCGCTGCCCCTCCGACCCGGGGCTGGGCGAGGCCGGGGCGCCCCCCACCCCGTCCCCCCGCCCCCCATCCCCACCCCCCGCCGGCAGGCCCGGGGAGGGGCGCGATTGCGGAAGCCGCCGCCGCCGCAGGTTCCGCGTTGCCTTTTAGGCGCCCTGCGCCCCGCCCCCCGCGCCCCGCCCCCCGCCCGGAGGCGCCCGCGGCCCCTTTAAGGCGCGGGGCATTGTGGGCGCGGGGAGTGGACTTGGGCCCGGCGGGGTGGCGGGGAGGGCGCAGTAGTAAAGAGTGAGCCGCCGGCCGAACGTGCGCGCCGCCCGGGTCCGCAGCCGCTGCCCGCCGCGCCGCGCCGCGCCGAGGGGCTCCCGGCCGCCCGACACCGGAGGGAGGCGGCGCCCCGGACCCGCCCCGGCCCGCGTTCTCCTCGGGAGCCGGACCCCATGGGGCGGGACCCCGCGCGAGCCTGAGCGCAGCCTGGCGCCCGCCCCGCACCCCTGCGCTCGCTGTCCCGGGCGCCCCGGCAGCTCCCCCCGTGGGCGCGCCCGCCGCCCGGCCTCCGCGCAGCCATGAGGTGAGCGCCCCGGACCCCGCTCCCCGCCCGGCCCCGCGCCCCGGACCCCGCTCCCGGCCCCGCCTCGGGCCCCCTCCCCCAGCCGTCCGGGGCTGGACTCGGGTGGGGTGAGCTCCGCGCTGTGGGCGCCCCGACCGACGCCGAGCCGGCGCCCCTTCTCCCCGCGCCGCTCCCCTAAGGCTGGAGGCGGCGCCGGCTCCCGGGACGCGGGGTCCGAGGAGTTTTCTCTGCGGGAGGCAGGGAGGGAGGCGGGCGGGGGCTCCGCGTCGGCAGATGGGGCAGCGTCCGGCCCCCGCGGGGCTCCGGAGTTGCTGCCCCGCACCCGTCCCGGGGAGGCCGTGCGAGGCTGCTCGGGGAGCCCTGCAACTCTGAGCCTCGCCGCCGGGGCGGTGGCCGCCGGACCCCTGCGTCCCGGAGCGGGGCGGAACTTCGGGGTACTTCTTGGCGCCTTGGCACTTGGGGGACGCGGAGTAGGGGCATCTGCGAGCCTGGCCCGCGGGGCCTGCAGGGGACGCGTCTCCCCCCGGGGGCCCAGGCTGGCCCGGGGCACTCCAGGGCGGCTCCCAGGGGCGCTGCCCCCTGCCCCCCGGGGGAGCCGGCTCTGCCCCCCCACCTGGTGGCTCGGGAGGGCGGGGGCGCGGCAGCTGGGGGAGGGGGCCTTTGTCTCCCGGACTCACCTGTCGAGACAGCTGGCGTGGGGGGCGGCCCCGCGAGCGCCCGGGGCCAGCTGCTCGCCCCGCTTCTCGGCCCTCCCCCCGGGCTCTCAGCGGCGCCCGGGGTCGCCCCCTTCCCCGGGCCGCGGGACTGGAGGAGGGGGCGCTGGAAGGCGTCAAGGTCACAGCCTTCTTTCTCCCTCGGGGACCCGGGCTTCCCAGCCTCTCCTGCTCTCTTCTGGGGAATTCGATCCTGGGGGCGCGGGGAGCCTGGGGTTTTTCTGTATTAATTGATGTCTTTCCCTGGACTCCTGGGCTCACCTGAGGGCGGGGCCGGCGGCCTCCCCTGCGCGCCCCCGTGATCTCCCCCTTGGGGCCGCATCTTGACAATACTATCTCCCTTCCTCCACTTTGGCAGGGACTTCCTGCCCCAAAGCCCCCGGCTCGGGGAGGAGTCCCCTGGGGGGGCAGCTTGGGCTTCACCCCCGCGCGCTCCGCCCGCACTCTGGCTTGGGGTGACATTCCTCGCGGGGACCCCGAGCGGGGACCCCTCCCTCCCCTCCCCCTGCCTCACGCGCCCGGCCCTCGGCCTGGGGGAGTGTCGGGATCCGGAGCCGGGACCGAGAGACACCCTGGAGACTTCCTGCCTGCCCTGCCCTCCCCCGTGGGAGTGCTGTCCCCCCAAAGAGGGGTCAGTTCCTCCGCTCGCCCCCCCATCCCCCTCCGGCTGCCCCCGCCCCGCCCCCACCCGCTTCCGGTCCCAGGCCCGGTGGAAGGCGGATGGCGGATGTCCGAGTTAGTGCCGCCTCGCTCGCTGAGACCGTAAAAGGGCAGGAGCAGCGTCTAGGCCGGCCCCCCGAGCCCCCGCCCCGGCCCCGTCCTCCCGCTGCCTGTGGCCCGGGACAGCCCAGGCCGACGCGCCCCGCCCTCCCGAGAGAAGGGGTCTCCCCTGGGCACTCGGCGGGCTGTGTTACTTCAGTCCTGGGACACACACAGACACACCCATCCCCTGTCCCCCGCTGGGTAAACTGAGGCCCGACACGCAGAGCCTGGGTCCAGGGCCCTCCGAGCTCTTGGGCTGTGTTGGGGAAGGGGTGCACTGCGCTGACTGGGGACAGTCCTGGGAAGGGAGGTAGCTGAGATGGAAAATTCCAAGATGTGGCTCCTTTTCTCCCGGTTTGACAAATATTTGTTGAGTGTCTGCTGCATCCGGGAGCTGGGAGGGCAGGGACGGGGTCAGAGGTCTGAAGGCCTTGGGCAGACGGGGTCTGAGAGACAGCTCTTGGGTTCATTCCTTTCCTCTTGCAGTAATAACAGAAGCAGACTGTTTTTATTTTGAAACGATGAGGCGGGTTCAGTCACACATCTTCGTGGCAGGCGCTGTTAATACGGGCCTCGTTCCATTTAAACTTCCACCGCAGTTAAGTGTGATGCCAGTACACAAGTTTGTGCCCAGGTCTTGCCCCCATTTTACAGGTAGTAAAACGGAGGCACAGAGACATTAAGGAAATGGCCTATTAAAGTTTAACAGTTTGGGAGCACAGGGTGGTGACTCATGTTTGTAACGGTAGCACTTGGAGCTACCCCTTGGGAGGCCAACTTTGGCTACTGAGTCCCTGTCTCAAAAATAAATATATGAAATCGAACAGTTGGAGGTGGTGATGTTCAAACTTGTACCCAGGACTGTCTAAGTCTACTGGCATTATAGGAAAAGGAAAATAGAGTCATCCGTGGGCTTCTTGTTTTGTTTTTGTACAAATAACATACTTTTACTATGAAACAACATTTTCCCCGTGCTGCATAGTGAGCTTGAGGCCGGCCTGGCCTGCACTGAGCCTGTTTCAGTGGCCAACCAGCTAAGCAAGCACCCTTGCCTTCCTCTTTACCTAGGGGAAACTGAGGCCCACTGGAGGGAGGGAGTAAAATGAACCCCCCAAACCTTATAGACGGAACTTGTCCTGTCAAGAGGGAGCAATTGTGCCTGTGTGTGCGCGCGCGTGTAAGTGTGCGTGTGTATGTGTGCCTGTGTGTGAGTGTATGCTGTGTGTGTGGTGTGTTGTGTGAGTGCGTGTGTGTGAGTGCGTGTGTATGTGTGCCTGTGTGTGAGTGTATGCTGTGTGTGTGGTGCGTGTGTGCACGTGCGCGTGTGTGAGTGTCTGTGGTGTTGTCTGAGTGCGTGTGTGTCTGTGTGGTGTTGTGTGCGTGAGTGTGTGTGTCCAGTTTCGTGGTGCAGGAAGCTGGTGAGGTAAGGCTGTGGGGCAGAGAGCAGGGAAGGAAGGGCCGAATGAGGAAGGTGCCTGCACTTGGTGTCACCTCCGTCCCCTCCCTCTTAGGACACCCAGCTCCTGAGGGGGGGTGGGGGTGTCCCCTGCAGGTTTGTGGGCTCAGGCCCCTGGTGACCTCTTTTATCCTTGTAACAGTGAGTTGGGATCCCCGGGCTGGAAACTGAGGTAGGTCTGGATCTGACTGCCCAGGGGGACAGAGACCCCAGGAGAGACGGGAGTCCCTCCCCTGGCCACCCTCCATCCCTGCCGTGGAACCTCCTTTTACACTTTATTATTGTGGTTAAGGTGCGTTTGTGAGGGACGTGGAGATCAGACCTGACAGTTATTGGGAGTTGGGTCTCTCCCTCCATCCACCGTGTGGGTTCTGGGGATCGAACTCAGGTGGTCGGTGTTGGCAGCCCTCTTGCTAGCCCTCCACCTCCCAAGAGCGGGGGTCACGGGTGGGTGTGTCCCTCCTGTGGGGATTTTCCATTTCAGCTCTGCTGGGACAGTTGACACAGGGCCTCCACTGGTCTGGAGCGTATGAAGATCCTCCTGCCTCTGCCTCCCAGGTGCAAGGTCACAGGCGTGGGTTCCCAGTCTGGAATACTTCCTTCCTTCCTCTCTGCTGAAGCACGGGTCCCCGAGGGTCTCTGGCTCCCCACTGCATCCCAGGAACCTAGACTGGTGCTCGGTGCGTAGATTGCAAAGAGCAGACTCCGCAGTAGCCGTTGACATCTGAAGGTCAGCAGTGATGCTGTTCCGTGGGTTCGTTTCCAGCCGCTGCACTCGGCAAACTGTCAGCCTTTGGTGGAATGCCGGCACAGAGACGTGTGGCGAAATCATCGAGCAGGCTCCCCAACTCCTAACCCCGTGGAAAGATGAGGAAACAGTGGGGTTGATGTTTTTCTTTTGGTTTTTGAGACAGGGTTTCTCTGTGGCTTTGGAGGCTGTCCTGGAACTCTCTCTGTAGACCAGGCTGGCCTCAAACTCACAGAGATCCACCCGCCTCTGCCTCCCGAGTGCTGGGATTAATGGCGAGCACCACCACCGCCGGGTGGGGTTGATACTTTTAAAAAGGCCAAGTATGAGGGAGTGTGGCTCAAAGGACTTTTAAGAAGAAGGTGGCGACTGACCTCGGGTGACAAGGGCCTTCTTAACCTTTTCTGTTGTAATGATTTTTAGTCTTGTTTGCATTTTGGGTGTCTGGTGGTCAGAAGACAGCTTGTGGGAGTCACTGCACCAGTGGCGATTCCGGGACGGAGCTCGGGTCCTGAGGTTTGGAGCAAACCCTTTCTGGGTGAGCCATGGCACAGCCGGCCCGGGTTTGGTGTTTACGGGAGACAGCGGGGCACTGTGTAGAAACGGGCCGGCCTCAGACTTGAGACTCCTCCTGGCCTCTGTCTCCTGAGTAATGGGATGATGGCGGGCTGGAGCCCGAGCCAGCTGAGGCTGGTTCTGGTGTATGTTTTATCGCGGGCTTGGGCTACAAGGTGTCTCCAGAGGCTGCCGAGCATTGCTGGGGGGTGCGGGTGAGGGCATCTAGGCAGAGCCGGGGTGTGCCGAGGAAGGGAGATCCGGCATACAAGGGAGGGCTAGGGCAGTGAGCACAGGCGACCTCACAAGCCTCCGCGCCACAGTGGACAGGAGGAGGGCGACACGCACTCTCACCCTGGTCCTTCCCTAAGGTCATCCTTAAGACCTCGTTGAGGGCGGGACCGCGCAGCCCAGGTGGCCCAGCCAACAGTGCTCTTTGTGGACCAGAGGACCAAAGCCGGGGCAGGCAGGACAGGACCACCTAGGAGGCCAAAGTGCACCTGGGTGGGGCGGTGACACCCTGGGCGTCTGGCCAGAGTCTGCCGGGGTGTGGGTGGCAGGTGTGGGGGGGGGCGTTAACCCTGCCCTGCCCAGGGTTCCTGAGCAGAAGCAGTCCCCGAAGCTACGCTTGTTTCAGATATTGGGTGGGACCCTGAAGCCCCTGGCACTCAGGAGCTGTGTGACCGTGGGCGGGGCACTCAGCCTCTGGGGCCTCCGAGGCCCCTGGAGGGTTGCAGTGGGAGCGGGGTGGGGGGCTGCGGAGGTCTGGGCCCGCGGGCTACTGTGGAGGGGCAGAGGTGGGGTGCGAGGCTCAGCCTGCGGCGTGGGGGCGGGGAGGCTGCCCAGGGGCTTTCCCCGCTGAACGCTCACCCCAGACCCCAGCCCTGCCGGTGCAGGGTGCAGTTTCTCTCCCCTGGAAACCACGAACTTCTTCTTTTTAGGAAAAAGCCGGGTGGGGGTGGGGCGGGCTCCCCCACTTCCCCTGTCTGTGTGTGACCTTGGCCAAGTTACTTCCTGTCTGGAGCCCTCGTGCCTTCCCTGGGGGGAGAACTGACGCTCCCAGGGCGACAGGTTGTGTGTGGGGTGTTCAGGGTCCCCTTCTGACGGTACCGCGCCGTGCACAGTGCCCCGAGTGCTGACAGTGACCAAGCACTCAGTACCCCGGTGCTAAGTGACACAGTACCCGGTGTGTGAGGTACTGTGCCCAGGACTTTGAGTAACTATGCTCGTTTCGCCCTCACGGCCTTCAGGAGGTAGGCAGGGTCCCTCGTGTCTTCCCTAAGTGACAGAGGAGGGCGATGAGCTCCCGGTCACGTTGAACAAGGGTTCCGCGGGGGTTTGAAGCCAGGCCTGTGGTGTCAGACTCCAGATCTTCCCTGTGTCAGCCATGGCCGTCCTCAGCTCCGCCTGGCTCCCGGGCTGGGCCAGCTGCCCCGGGGGTGTTCCACAGAGAGTTCCTTGACTCTGAGGCTCTGCTGGACCAGCGTGGGTCGGTCCCCAGCACTGGAACTACCTGGTGGCAGGGCAGGCTGTCTGGGCCACTGCCGTGTCTCCATCCCCAGCCACAGGGTGTGGCGTTGGGTGCAGCCAGGAGTGTGAGCCTGACGGCTGCTCGAGCCCTGGGGAACCAGGTGGACCAGGTGGCCGGTAAAAGCAGCCGCCAGGGAGGCAAAGCAGGGTCCTGGGATCTTTCCTCACTCCCTGCACTTGAGCTGCAGCTCCCTCGGCTGATCTGAGGCGGTGTTAGGGGGGAAACTGAGGCCAAGCTGGGGCTGTTCTCACCATACTTCGCTGCCCTCTATTCCTGGCATCTCGGCCGTTTCTAGTCATCCTGACCTCACTGTTGTTAAGATTAGAGGCTGAGTCTGCAACCCCAGCAAGCTGCCTGGTCCCCACCTCAAGCCTTCGGGGGACTTTATCTCCTCTTCCTGTGTGCGGCCCGCTGTCCATCTCCTCCCCACAGTGTGCTCACCTGTTAGCCTGTACCTTTTGTTTGAGTAGTACTGTGGATTCAGCCAGGGACCTTGAGCAAGCTGGGCAAGCATGAACATTCTAGAACTGAGCCACAGCCCAGCCCCTCACTGGGGGATTCTAGGCAGGGGCTCTACCACTGAGCCACACCCCCCAGCCCCTCACTGGGGGATTCTAGGCAGGGCCTCTACCACTGAGCCACACCCCCAGCCCTCACTGGGGGATTCTATGTGCAGTCAGTTTTCTGTTTCTACTATATGGGTCTAGGAGATTGACCTTGGGTCATCAGTTTGGTGTCTGGCACCATTTTTTTATCAACTGAGCCGTGACTCTGGGCCCTGCCTTGTTCTTCTGACTTTTCTCCATTTAGTATCTTTGTGTGTCCCCCTGTCCTGGGGTGGTGCTCTGTCTGTCTGTCTGTCTGGGAGGGCGTTTGGAGCCGCTGTCTCCGTCTCCCTCTGTGCTCTTCTTCCCACGCTTGTCATGTGACAGAGACGCAGGTGGAGAATGTGACCGGCCCCTCTGCTTCCTTCCCTGGCAGTGAAACGGTCATCTGCTCCAGCCGGGCCACCGTAATGCTTTACGATGACAGCAATAAGCGCTGGCTCCCCTCGGGCACCGGTCCTCAGGCCTTCAGCCGCGTCCAGATCTACCACAACCCCACCGCCAACGCCTTCCGAGTCGTCGGCCGCAAGATGCAGCCGGACCAGCAGGTGCAGGCTCCCTCTGTCCCCTGTCCTCCTGTCACCCTGTCCCTCTGTCCCCCATCCCCGTCCTCTGTCCCCCATCCCCGTCCTCTGTCCCCCATCCCCGTCCTCTGTCCCCCATCCCCGTCCTCTGTCCCCCATCCCCGTCCTCTGTCCCCCATCCCCGTCCTCTGTCCCCCATCCCCGTCCTCTGTCCCCCCCCCGTCCCTCTGTCCCCCATCCCCGTCCTCTGTCCCCCCCGTCCCTTGTCCCCCATCCCCCTGTCCCCCGCCACCAAGCTCTCACCCACCTGTTCCTCTCGTAGGTGGTTATCAACTGCGCCATCACTCGGGGTGTCAAGTACAATCAGGCCACTCCCATCTTCCATCAGTGGCGTGACGCCCGCCAGGTCTGGGGCCTCAACTTCGGCAGCAAGGAGGAGGCCTTGCAGTTTGCAGCCGGCATGGCCAGTGCCCTAGAGGCCTTGGAAGGTTAGACGGGCAGGTGGGACAACGCCGGGGCTCACACTTTTAGTCCCTGCACTCGGGAGGCTGAGGCAGGGGGATTGCAACAGGTCCCGGGACAGCCTGGGTGACATAGTAACATAGTAGGATCAGCTGGGGACGTGGTCTGTAGGTGGGGAACTCACGTGGTGTGCGTGAAGCCGCATGTTCAGCCCCCGGCTCTGTGAGCAAGGCCCAGTCACGAGAGCCTGTCACTCGGCGCTCAGCAGGTGGAGACAGGAGGATAATGAGATTAAGGCCATCCTCAGCTACACGGCAGGCTGAGACTAGCCTGAGCTACAGAAGACTCTAAAAAGCGTCTGTGTGTGTGCGCACGTGCGCGTCTTGTGGGTCTAGAGAGATGTCACAGACTTGTAGTGTGAGGCTGGGAGGATGGAGGGTTCCGGGCCAGCCTGGGCTACATAGCCAGGTTTGATGTAAAACCAAGTCCACAGGTGGCATGTGATGGCAAAGGCTCAGTGGTACAGGCTTGCCCAGCGTGTGCCTGACCCTGGGTACCATACCAGGTCGAAATAAAGTCCCTGTGTGCTATTTGTTTGAAAGTTTTGTTTGTTTTTTGGTTTTTGTTTTGTTTAGTTTTTGTTTTGGCTTGGTTTGGTTTGGTTTTTCGAGACAGGGTTTCTCTGTGGCTTTGGAGGCTGTCCTGGAACTCACTCTGTAGCCCTGGCTGTCCTGGAACTCGCTCTGTAGACCAGGCTGGCCTTGAACCCACAGAGATCCGCCTGCCTCTGCCTCCCGAGTGCTGGGATTAAAGGTGTGTGCCACCAACATTTATCCATTGAGTGTGCACTGGGCCTGGTGTTTGTGTGGACAGAGGACAGCTTGGGAGTCTGTTCTCTCCTTCCACCTGTGGGCCCAGGGACTAAGCTCGTGTCTGCAGGCTCTGTAGCTGCTGCCTTACCCCACGGGAGTCTCCTTTCCCATTTCCTTTTTCCGTTTCTTTTTTTTTGGGGGGGAGGGGGATCTGGGCTTCTCTATAGCCCTAGCTGGCTTGGAACTTAAGAGATCCACCCGCCTCTGCCTCCTGAGTGCTGGGAATAAAAGTGTATGCCACTGTGCTGGGCTACATGATATTTCTTTTTTTTTTTTTTTTTTTCGACACAGGGTTTCTCTGTGGCTTTGGAGGCTGTCCTGGAACTAGCTCTGTAGTGTAGTGTAGTGTAGGTGGCAGGCAGCTCAGGCCCAGGGAGGCTGCCCCTCTGGAGGGATGTGGGCTCTGGGGGGGGGGGGATCCTCATGAGCCAGAGGGTGGAGCTCCTGCCTTCTCACCGTGTTCTCCTTCCCCTTCCAGGAGGCGGGCCTCCCGCGGCCCCAGCACCCCCTGCCTGGTCCACCGCACAGAACGGCCCCTCCCCAGAGGAGCTGGAACAGCAGAAAAGGTGGGGACCCTCGCCCCCTTTAGGGTGTCCATGGCTCCCCGGGTTTAGAACCCTGCCAGCTTTCACTGTCTACAAAGGTCCCAAGAATCTAGAGCCAACGGCATTCAGGCACCACGAGTTCAAGAAACGTTACTGTAAAGCCGGGCCTGGAGGCACACACCTGCCATCTCAGTACACAGGATGCCGCGGCAGGGGGATTGCCGAGAGTTTGAGGCTAGCCTTGGAAATCAGTATGAGACCCTAAAACAACCCTTGCTGGATGTGTTGGAGCATACCTTTAATACCAGGCTTTCAAAAGGTAGAGCCAGGCAAATTGACACTGTAGAATCCATTCTGGTCGGGCGGTGGTGGCGCACGCCTTTAGTCCCAGCGCTCAGGAGGCAGAGGCAGGCGGATCTCTGTGAGTTCGAGGCCAGCCTGGTCTACGAACAAGTTCCAGGACAGGCTACAGAGAAACCGTCTTGAAAAACAAAAAGAATCCACTCTGATCTACATAGTATATTCTGGGCTACCCAAGGCTACACAGTGAGACCGTCTAAATATAGAAAAGAAAAACTATCACCCCCACCCCAAGAATCTGATGAGTGACTACAACATCCTGGTGTGGCCCAACTCCACACCTGGGTTCCACAGCTGAGACCCTTGGCCACTTTGAAATAAGCTATTGGTGACGGCTGGAGAGATGCTCGCACCCAAAGCCTCATCAGCACCTCCTGCCTCTTGTCCTCCCTCCTTCCCTGGGCCCTCAGTAGGCAGATGTAGGAGGCAGGTCCTGGCCTTGCTGGTGACCTCTGAGGAACCAGATGCTGCTGGCCCTGTGGCTGGCTTGGTCTGGACACTGAAGGCAGCTTCCTTTCCCCTGGCAGGCCGCCTGAGCACATGGAGCGCCGGGTCTCCAATGCAGGTAACGACTCGATGGCTGGGTCACGGGGACCTCCCGGGAGGGCTGGGCTGGGCGGGCTGGACAGAGACCAGGGTTCTCTGTGTTTATTGCAGGAGGTCCACCTGCTCCCCTAGCTGGGGGCCCCCCTCCGCCTCCAGGACCTCCCCCTCCTCCGGGCCCCCCTCCGCCTCCAGGTCTGCCCCCTTCAGGGGCACCTGCTGCAGGTCATGGAGCAGGGGGAGCACCGCCCCCCGCACCCCCACTGCCTACAGCACAGGGCCCAAGCGGTGGGGGTTCCGGGGCCCCAGGCCTGGCTGCTGCCATTGCTGGAGCCAAACTCAGGAAAGTCAGCAAGGTGAGTGGCTGGGAGGGGACAATGGGAGGTGGTCAGAGTCCCCCAAAGGTGTCACAAGAGGGCTAGGGGTGACCTGGCCTGCCTTTGAAGCCCTCTCTCCTTTGATTCCTTCAGCAGGAGGAGGCCTCTGGGGGGCCCTTGGCCCCCAAAGCTGAGGGCAGTCGCAGCACTGGCGGGGGGCTCATGGAAGAGATGAACGCCATGCTGGCCCGCAGGTGAGCCTGGGGACTCAGGCACATGACAGGTTTGGGGTGCTCTCATGTCTGTTCTGGGCTGCACACCCGTCCTCCCTCCTGCCTCTCAGCCTCCTGTGTGCTGGGATGACACCCTTGACCCAGCTTCTCTGCTTCTTTGGGTGGCGGTCCTGCCTGATGCCGACAGCCATGTCTGGGATACAGTGCTGGAGACTGTCATCCTTTGAGGTGGCTCACAGACTATCACAGAATGTTCTGGAACCTTAGATTCTTAAGGATCTCAACTTACAGCCGGGCGTTGGTGGCGCATGCCTTTAATCCCAGCACTTGGGAGGCAGAGGCAGGCGGATCTCTGTGAGTTCGAGGCCAGCCTGGTCTACAGAGCGAGTTCCAGGACAGCCTCCAAAACAATACAGAGAAACCCTGTCTCGAAAAACCAAAAAAAAAAAAAAAAAAAAAAAGAATCTCAACTTGCTGATTGAGAAACCTCACCCTTCCGGTCTTATGGTTTCCCGAGATGTGGGAATTATGGGGGACCCCCTCCAGATTCTACAGGAGTGGTCTCCAGGCTGTTTTTGCAGAAAATTTAAGTGATTTATTTTCATCCGTCGTATGTGTGAGTGTGCCCTTGGCACCTGGGAGGAGTCTTTTCTCTCCTTTCGCCATGTGGGTTCTGGGAATCGAACTCACGTTGTCAGGCTTGGCAGCAAGCACCCTTACTCACCGAGCCCTCTCTCCTGCCCGCAACTGCATCCTTGTTATTGCTGCTCTGAGCCCTGGCTGGGCTGCAACCTAAAGCAACTCTCCTGCCTCTGCCTCTGAGTACTCTGAGTGCTTTGTGCGTGTGGGCACACGTCTGGAGGTTACAGGATAATGTGCAGGGTTTGGTTCTCCACTTTCAACTTGCCATGGGTCCCTGGGATGTCAGCGGGTGACCCGGCGTGGTGCAAGCCGCCTTGCCCGCCGTCTTCAACTTCAGGTTACCCTGGATCTAGCCGCGGGAGGGCGCTCTTGAGTGGCAGAGTGTGAACCGTAGCTTGTTTTTCTTGCCCCTCTGCAGAAGGAAAGCCACACAGGTTGGGGAGAAGCCCCCCAGAGACGAGTCGGCCAGTGTAAGTCCTCTCCCTGCTCTGTAGTCCCTAAGGTGTACCTGGGGGGAGGTGTGACAGGGTCGTCTGGTTTAGGACCTGGAAGAGGAACGTTGGCTTGCAAAGGGTGGTTTATGACACTTTCACTTACCGCCAGCAGGAGGAGCCAGAGGCCCGAGTCCCCGCCCAGAGTGGTGAGTGACAGCCCTGTCAAGCCATAGAAACTACGAATCCCAGGAAGCGCTGTTCTTCTTTGAAAGCACTTGCATGGGAAACTTGTGCAAACAATACTGGGGATTGTGGTGGGTTGGGTGGGGTATACTTTGTGGGGGCAATGCTCGTCTCTAATCTCTCTGACTTCCCTCATCCACCCAGAACCTGTGCGGAGACCCTGGGAGAGGAACAGCACAACCTTGCCAAGGTAGGCATGGAAGAGCTGACCTCGGGGAGCGTAGTGTCAGCCCGGGACGGGGAGCGTAGTGTCAGCCCGGGACAGGGGGCATAGTGTAAGCCCGGGGGGGGGGTGGCAGTACCCTCCCTAACCTCATTCCTGTCCCGCGACCCCTCCAGGATGAAGTCCTCCTCTTCGGTGGCGATGTCCGAGGCCCACCCCTCTCCTCCCAGTTCCAGTGATGACTCTGACTTGGAGAGGGTGAAGCAGGTAGCGTGGGGAAGCAGCTCCCATGATGCCCAGAGAGACACACCTCCTGAGTGGTTCTAGGGAAAGCTTAAAGCCTGCCTCAGTCTTCTGGTCTGAGAAAGGGGACCAACACCCATGCCACTCCCGTGCCTGTAACAGGCCTCACCCGTGTTCAGCGCTTGTTCCTGCTCGGTACGCAGAACCCTCAGCGGCGCCAGCTGTCCATCTCCAGTCAGAGTTGGCATGCCATCCCTGTCGCTGGAATGAGGGACTGTTGCGATGGCTCAGCAGCTACTTCGCCAGTGTTGACAGCCTGAGGTCCACGCTCAGAGCCCACGGGGCAGGAGGAGTGAGCTAACTCAGGCCGGTCTCTGGCCGACGCTGTGTGCGCGTGCGCCGCCGGCACAGACAAGTACTTGTTCAGGAACGTTAGAGTCGAAATGAGAGAGGGGTCACTGTCTCTGCCATCCAGGTCTCCTTGGTTGTTTCTTTCCAGGAGCTTCTGGAAGAGGTGCGGAAGGAGCTGCACAAGATGAAGGAGGAAATAATTGAAGGTGAGGCGCGGCTGAGCCAGCCAGCCTTTGCCGGGCGGGGCCTCGTGTGGTTGGGCAGCTGCCGTGGAGGAGGGGCAGGCTGGCCTGACCCTTCCGTCCTTCCGTCCTTGCAGCCTTTGTCCAGGAGCTGAGGAGGCGGGGCTCTCCTTGACCAAGGGACCCACAAGACCCGTTTCTCCTCTGTGCTTCCCGCCTGGCGCCCGCTTTCCCTGCCTCAACTTGACCAAGAGTGCACCAGAAGGCACACTCCCCGACGGCTCGCTGGATTGCTCGAAGATTCCAGAGGGTGTGGCTTCCTGGTGCCATGACCACACTCCGCTGGCTGCTGATTGGCTGAGGTCCCACCCCTTTGTTCCTTGGCCCTTCCCCTCTGCCGTCCCCTCGGGGCTGGTTCCTCTGCTGGGGATGCACCCAGTTCCCACAGTAAGGAAGGAGGGAGGGAGCCGAACCTTCCCGAGTTCTGGATTCACTTTAACGCTTTAATACCTTGGATTTTTTTGTTTTTAAAGAAAAAGTATATATATATATATTTGGGTTTGGGGGAGGGAAATTTTTTCTCTTTGGTTTTGATACAATGGCGTGTGAGAGTTTTTAAAAGCTATAACCCCAGGCTCGTCCCGTTGGAGGCAGCTGTATAAGGGGGAGGTGTCCCAGCAGGTGGAAGGGCTCTCTACCACCCAGGAACACCTCCCCCTTCTCCTTGGCTCCTCCCTCTTTTCTATGAGAAATTAAGATTCTCTAACTTTTTTGGAACCTCAGTTTTGTGGTTTTTTTATTCGGGTTAGGATTTCAGGGTCCAGACCATTTTTGCCCTCTGGGAAGATGAAGTGAGGGGAAGGAGAAGAGGAAAAATAGGTCCTCCGACTTCCACGCCTTAGCTTCTCGGACACGGGCCTTCGCTGAATAAATCTTCGGTTTTTATAAACGAAAGTCTCCGGAGTGACTTGGGAGAGGGGGTTGCTGCCAGCCGTGGGAGCCCTTGCACAGATGCCACCAGTCCCTGGTCCTGCACACGCGCGCGTGCGCGCGCGCGCACACACACACACAACCTGTTCTGGCCAGCTGCGCCCTCCCCCCTGCCCTCCCCAGGTCCTCCATCCACAGTGCTGAGCCGTGTGTCCCTAAGTCTTCCGGCTTAACTGGGATGCTCAGTTTACCTGGGAAAGTCTCACGACTGTCCCCCTGCCACTCAAAGACCCCTCCCCAAGTTCTCTCCACTCGGCACACGACAGTTTGAGACACACTCCTCAACCTGGGTCTCCTTTAATTATAAAACATTTAAAACCTTAAAAAAGAAGTCAGAGCCCACAGGCCGCCGCTTTCTGGGTAATACTCCAGAAAGGGAGGGTGGTCCCTGAGAATTCTGTGACCTGTGGCGGTGGTGGCGGTTCCTTACAGAAGCCAGCTAAGAGGCTGTCAGGGGAAGGGGCTAGGAAACCAAGGGGCCAAGCGGAAACAGGCAGAATGACTCATTCTTGGTTAGAGCCGACTTCCCCTTCCTAAGACATGAGGAAGATGCACCCAGCCGGGTCCACCAGGGAGAGAACGCCAGGCAGAGGCAACTCAGGAGCCAGAGCGATGCGGGCTGGGCAGACCCCGGGCCTCTTCCCTTGAAAGGGAGGGAGATAGAGTCAGGACTCTAGGGAGTGTTCCCCTGTGATGGCCAGTGCCCAGGTGGAGGGGTCCCCAACTCGCTGTGTCCTCCCTTCCAAGTACAGCATCCCAGTGCTGGCGGGCTGGGGGTCTGGGAGTGTCCCTGGCATGTCCCACCACTGGGTGAGCGACCCCGTGGAAAAGCATCACACCACTCCCCGCCTAGGATCCCTCGGTCCCGAGACCAGGGCATGTCAGCTGGTTCGGTTCCCAGTGGACCCACGGGGAGAGGCCAGGCAGGCAACAACCCCAGACAGCAGTCCTCGTCCAAGGGCAGAGTCCGGGGGCCTCTACGCGGGGGGCTGGGGCAGTTTCTGGGGCTCGGGCTGAGGCTCCGGCTCCGGCTCATGGCGCTCCTCGCAAATATTGGTGGCGAACTCCCGCAGCTCCGCCCGCAGCTCCGCCTGCAGCTGGTCCAGCTCTTTCCTTAGCGCCGCCTCCCGCATCTGCACCTGCAGCTCGTCCAGCGCCTGCTCCAGGCGGTCCACGTCCGCCCGCAGCGACCGCAGCGTGGTCAGGCGCTCCACTTCCTGGCGGTGCCGCAGGGACTGCTGGCGCCAGAACTCCAGCAGCAGGCAGCTGCCCGCGCAGGCAAAGATGATGGCCTCGCCCAGCAGGTTGGCGCCCAGCTCGGCCGCCGCCTCCTCGTTCAGCGGCTTGATGGCTTCGGAGTGGAAGCCCATGATGCGCATCTTGGTCCGCATCTCTGCCCAGTGGTACACTGCAGGGGAGACAGAGGTCAGGGTTTGTTTTGTCCTGGCTTCTTGTCCCCTGTGGGCACCACTCCCGGCTCATTGGAGATCAGAGCCAGAAGAGCTTGCCTAGGGGACAGTCACCAGTCTGCACGCTTAGAATAAGAACTTTTCTGGCCTGGGAGGACCTGAGGATATGGTTTTAAAATGGAACCCAGGTGGATGGCATAGGCCGATAATCGCAGCACTCAGGAGATGAGGCGGCAGGATCAAAAGGTCAAGGTCGCTGGGTCTTGCTGGTGCACGCCTTTAACCCCAGCATTCCGGAGGTAGAGGCAGGTGATCTCTGTGAGCTCGAGAACACTCTGGTCTACAGAGCCAATGCCAGAACAGCCAGGAATGTTATACAGAGAAACCCTGTCTTAAAAACCAACCAATTGCTGGGCGGTGGTGGCCCAGGCCTTTAATCCCAGCACTTGGGAGGCAGAGGCAGGCGGATATCCGAGTTTGAGACAAGCCTGGTCTACAGAGGGAGTTCCAGGACAGGCTCCAAAACCACAGAGAAACGCTGTCTCGAAAAACAAAACAGCCGGGCGTTGGTGGCGCACGCCTTTAATCCCAGCACTCGGAAGGCAGAGGCAGGGGGATCTCTGTGAGTTCGAGACCAGCCTAGTCTACAAGAGCTAGTTCCAGGACAGCCTCCAAAGCCACAGAGAAACCCTGTCTCGAAAAACCAAAAAAAAAAAAAAAAAAAAAAAAAAAAAGAAACTTTCAGTTTGGGAACCTCTACATGGGGTAGAGTCACAAGGAAGTCCTGTGTACAAGGCCCCCAAAACATTCATACATATAAAATAAAAATATATTAATCACCATGCCTAGCTGGGCGTTGGTGGTGCATACCTTTAATCCCAGCACTCGGGAGGCAGAGGCAGGCGGATCTCTGAGTTCGAGGCCAGGCTGGTCTACAGAGTGAGTTCCAGGACAGCCAGGGCTACACAGAAACCCTGTCATGAAGAAGCAGCAACAACATAAATTATCCTCAGGTAAATTCTAGGAAGGATCCCTATTTACCAGCCAGTGTCTTACATGCCAGGTATGTACGACTAAAGCCATGCATTCTGGGACTAGAGAAGAGGGGTTGGCGGTTAGGAGCACACTGCCCTGCCCAGGACCTGAGCAGTCTCTAGCCCCTCACTACTGCCTGTCCCTCGAGGGGATCCGATGTTCTCCTCTGGCCTCCATGGCATCCTAACACACATGACACACACAGACACATGCGCATAAACACAAATAAGAAATAAAATGTTTTAAAAATTCAATTATACATTGTGGGCCAGGGCATGCTTAGTAGAAAAATGCTTACGACCTAATCTGTCAACTAGAGTAAGAGAACTGCGCCAGGATACTGGGTCCCCTGAGGGCTCCCCCTCCTGGGGCAGCTTCCGGTCTTGTCCGCCCTAACCTGCTCTGCTCTGTTAAGTTAGGCTGTTTTCACAAGCCCACTTAAGCCTTATTGTCAGTGGAGTATGTGTGTGTGTGTGCGCGCGCGCGCGCGCGAGTGCGCGCGTGCGTGCGTGCGTGTCTCGCCTTTGTAACCCTGCCAGGAAATCACCAACATCCCCCTGCCTCTGCCTCCCAAAAGCTGCTGGAGGACTAAGCCTCAAACCCATCCAGGGCTTCACGAGCAGGAGACAAGCTCACCACCCCCTGGAGCTGCTGCCCTGGGTCCTCACTTGACTCTGAAGCCTTTGCTTTCTCACAAATGCTATTCTCAGTCAGTCCCCGAGGCTGCAGAGCCGGCTCCCCGTGTCCCCCTCATCCACACACCACCTCTCCTTTTTTCTCCCCACCCCCACCCCCTTTGAGGGTGCTCTGCATCCCCCTGCCTCGGCCTCCCAAGTGCTGCTATTGAAGGCGTTCTCTGCCACCCACGGCTGGATTCTATCTTCTACTTGAAACTTGTTTCTCTCTGACCTGGGAACGTCTCTTTCCTGCGAAGTCAAGATGAAAACACGCACGCTGGGCATGGTGGCACTCGACTTTAATCCCAGCACTCTGGAGGAGAGGCAGGAGGATCTTTTTGGAGTTTGAGGCCAACTTGGTCTACAGAGCTAGTTCCAGGACAGCCAAGGCTACACGGAGAAACCCTGTCTCAAAAAAACAAAAGAAGAAAACAATGAAGAGATGAATCTATCCTCTACCCCTACGGAGGCGTGGCTTTTGCTGGGAGCTCCTTGGAGCTTTGGGACTTTGGAATGTCTGGCCTCTAGTCTGTCTTTGGGCAATTTAGATTTAGATGTGCTGGAGAATATTCCTGAGCACCTATCTCCAAGAGGGTGTGTGGTAAGGGTTTTGAATCCTTCTTTCTTGGGGCTTCAGGGTTTTGGCTTTTTGTTTTGGGTTTTTGTTTTTATTTTTCAGAGTCTCCTTATGTAGCTTATGTAGCCCTAACTGGCCTGGATCTACAGTGTAGACCAGGCTGGCCTCAAATTCAGAGATCTTTGTGCCTCTGCCTCCTGACTGCGGACTAAAGGTTTGCACCACCATGTCCAATTTCATTTCAATTTTGTTTGTTTGGGTTTTTTGAGGCAGGGTTTCTCTGTGTAGCTCTGGCTGTCCTGGAACTCGCTCTGTAGCCCAGGCTGGCCTCGAACTCACAGAGATCTGCCTGCCTCTGCCCCCTGAGTGCTGGGATTAAAGATATATGCTACCAAACCTGGCTTTCACTTTAGTTTTTAAATTCTATTTTTATTCATTTATTGTATTTGTGTGAGTATGTGGACACCAAGGCATACTTGTGGACGTCAGAGAGCAGCCGATGGAAGGTGAATCTCTCCTCCATATTGGGAGACTAAACTTGGGTCCCTAGGCGTGGCCACAGGGCCTTTATTCATTGGGCCACCTCGTTAGCCACAAGTCCAACTTTTGATGTTGCTGCTGGGAATTTGAATTCAGGTCCTATGTTTAGCAGCAGACCTACTGAGCCATCTTCCCAGACTCCTTTTTTTAAAAATTAATCAATCAATTAATTGATTAATGTGCACTGGTTTTTTGCCAGAGGTGTCAGGTCCCCTGGAACAGGAATTACAGCTGCAAGGTGCCATGTGGGTGCTGGGAATTGAACCCTTGTCCTCTGGAAGAGCCGTCAGTGCTATTAACCACTGAGCCGTCTCTCCAGCCCCCCCCCTTTTTTGTGTGTGTGTGTGTGTGTTTTGTTTTTCGAGACAGGGTTTCTCTGTATTGTTTTGGGGACTGTCCTGGAACTTGCTCTGTAGACCAGGCTGGCCTCGAACTCACAGAGATCCGCCTGCCTCTGCCTCCCAAGTGCTGGGATCAAAGGCGTGCGCCACCACTGCCCCGCTCCCCCTCCCTTTTTTTAATTAGGATTTTACTCTGGAGCCCACGTGGGCCCCAGACTCGTGTCGTGGCTCTTGTCTCTGCATCCAAGGCTGGGGTTACAACTATGAATGAGGCAGCATGCCCAGATGTTTACTCCCATTTTCAACAGCCTCGCATGTAGCCCAGGCTGGACTGGAGCTGGCTATGTGGCTGCTAAGACTTTGAAGCTACCCTTGCGGAG